TGAACAGGCACCGCTGGCTCCGCTCTACCTCCAGCCCGCGGCCCCCCCGGGCTCCTCCAGGGTCGGGGCTCCTCGGGGTAAGCACCTACGCTTCCAGCCGGGCTGGCACCCCAGATTTTCGTCTTCCCGCCGCAGAGACCTTTCCCGAGCGGGCACGGATGCAGGCAAAACTGAAACGCGGGCTTGCAGGCTGAAAAATGGCCAAAAAAAATAAGCATACGAAAAAAATAACCCATACGAGATCTTCAGAAGAGGACGGCACCCAGAAGGCTGCAGGGTGTCCGATACGAGCCGGTACCAGAGGGAGAAGCCTGATCACAAGATGCCTGGGACACTGTTGGCAGGGCGGGGGTGTTGAGGTTTGGGATTTCTCCTGCCAGTAACTGGACAGCCAGCATGGCAGGTGGTGCAGTTTAGTTTTATTTAACAGACAAGTCCATCAAAAATTAAATACCAGGTTTTGCTTGTTTTTCGTTGTTTTTTTTTCTAACAGAACAAATATGTACAAAATATGAACAATGTGAGGTATAAAACCACAAGACTTTTAAAGAAAACTAGTATGTACAGAAGCAGATATGTATACAATAGGCATTATCTTCCCACGGCTGTGTGCCTCACTTATCCCTCATAGCTGATGCCAGTGTCTCCTGCAGCAGGGCCCTATCACTCCCCGCATTTTCTTCTCAAATACAAAATCTGTAGAAAAACAGCGCTAGAGATTTTCAAGGAGAAAAATTTGTAGTCTTTTTCCTGCAAATGGAACCATCCAGATTGCAAGGCAAAGTCTGCAAAAATCTGAGAAAGCACATTTCATCTCATGCAAGAGGAAAAATGAATCTGTCTGAAGACTGATGAATGGAGGGATGTCTCAGTAGAGAGCACCACGGCAGGTAAAAGGGTATGACCATAAGGCACTTGTCAGGATAGTCAATTCCCTATTTCACAGAACATGTTTGTCTGCTTGCAAAAGGCATTTAAATTAATCTATTTAAACTATACTTGTTTACACATACAAAGGGCTTAGTCCTGCAATCCATACTCACTTCCACACTACCTAGAGTTTTGCCTGATCACCAACAGCAGCTGATTCAGACCCCCGTGAGTAAGGACAGGGTGCAGTATTATATTCCAGTTAGAACATTGATTAATGTACAAATATATCTTACAAATAATTAAATACAAACCATGTTCCTTTAACCTAATCAGAGATCTGCAAAAAAATTGACTGGAGAAAATACATATTTCTTTCTCTGCTTATTTTAAAATGAGTCTGTTTGGTGTTTTTTTTTCTTTCAGTGGAATGGTGGAGGTTTTCTCCTGTAGCATAATATTCTTCCACGACAGCCCTTGGTAAAGTGCAAGCCAAATTAGGGTCCACTCTCCCCCTAGGGCTGCTATTGGGTAGGATTGTAATAGCCTTTATCGCCTTCAATGTCCACTTCTTGATCAGAGTCATCGGAGACATCTGACTCCAGGTCCTCCTGAGAGGCTGGTGAGGGGGTGTACTGTGAGCCATCCAGGGAGACCTCCTTACCCTTCTGCTCAGGGGTCGGGCAGCTCTCTGGCCTTTGGTCACTGTGGCCACCAGCACCTTCTACTTCTTCTTTTTTGGTGGCCTGGGGGTTCTCCTGCAATGAAAGAAGCCTGCTTTATACGGATATATGGAACACAGAGACAGGAGGCCTGAGAATTCCAGCTGTCCTGAGTGGGAAAACTACCTTGGGTTTCTTGCAGGGAAAGTCAGGTGTCCTGCTACCTCCTCAGACCTCCTGCCAATAAACTTGCCTGAGTGGGAGGGGGCCAGGTGAAGGCACAGCCACAAAGAAGGGCCCAGCTCTGATCCCACTCCTCGGCAGTCACAGGGAGCCGCTGCCTTGAATAAGGCTCCTTGGTGATGGTTATCACAGACACTTCAAAAGAGTCAGGAGCTGCCGGAGCCCAGGAACCTCTGAACTTTTGTCTTTAGCAAAGCAAATGTTTATTATGAGTCTACAAACACCGACACACAGCTTCCTCCTGCCCTCATCTTTCTTTAATTGCACCCAAAGGCAAAAGGAGGGAGGCCGAATCCACCAGTGGCCCAAGAGCAATCAGAGAAAAAATTACTAATTAATCTAAAACTGAACATTAAAACACTCACCATTAAAACCAAACCAAAACCCTATTTCTGAAGGCAGGAGTAGCCCTGCGTCAGCAGCTGTCTGGAGAGCACAGTCCCCTAAGGGGGCATGAAATGCTACTCTCAAGAGAAAGCAGGCAGAGACATGTACCCATGATACAACCATGCGGGCTCAGAGAAATGGATGCAACTGAATGAAAAGGAGGAAATGACTTAAAATGGCCGAGATCCCAAGTGAGCTCTCCAGACACGGCAAGGCAGCCTGAGTTGAGCCCCACCACGGGGGCACCATTGGGGACCCAGCCCAACCCCTGCCAGAGTAAAAGGGTTCCGTTAAAATATCAGCTGAAATACGGGTTAACCCTGGCGAAAGGTCACAGAAAAATTATATCCAGAGCAGGACACTGTGATCAGTTTTCTTATTATAGGTGGATTTACCAGTAAAAGTCAGCTGTCGTAGTAACACTTACTGAAACCAGACTTGGGACACAATGCAGGGATTTTTCACAGATCTTTGAGCTAAAGGGCCTCGATCTGGCCAAACTGAGCAGGATCGGGCTCTCTAGGCCATAAAAAAAATAATTAAAAATCTGCTTGAATGTGGTTTTTAAGAGAAGGGAAACTGCTTCAACTGTTCAGCCGCATATACTTGTAACTATTTGTAAACGAAAAGTAAAAGCTACTCAATATTCCATGCAGCTTCTCCAAACAAACAAGGCATTTGTACCTACCTCTTCCAAAGTTTGCAGAATAAATCAACTTGTGTTTATTAAGAGAGGGCGTTTTAAAAGACCAGTAAATATTCTTTTCCAAAACAACTGCCTAAGTAATTTACTGACAATTACTTATCTCCTCCACGCTAATTGGCTAAACAACATATGGGTTTACAAAACAATTAGCGTGGAGTTTTAATAGGCAGTGTGTGAAAGCTGGGCATAATTGATATAGGAACTACATTAGGAGCTTTTAACGTTAGTGCTGCCTGAATGAGCCTTCATAGATTCCAGCATGACTATTTGTCTTTTTAATCAAGGTGAAGAGGTTAAACAGCCTTTCAGATGACTTCTGCATACAACCTGGAATAGGCGAGCACGGGGTAAGATAAGACAATTAAAATACTGATTTCTATAGAAACGGAAACATCCCCGTACCTGCTTTAGACGCCTCCATTTGGCTCTGCGATTCTGAAACCACGTTTTGACCTAAGCAACGACAACGAGAGAAGGCACTGGGTAGTCTCAGGCCCGGTGAGCACCAGGAGTCTTACTCAAGCCACAGACAGAAAACAAGAGCCAGCCCTCCCCCCCAACCCCCGGCCCCAAGCCAGCCGGGTTCCCCAGAGCGGTGTGCGGGCAGCACCGCACGACGGCCGGCGCCGGCGGCCCCGGGGGCTGCCTGGCAATTAAATGCCGTAGCCCGGGAGCGGGCACGGCCTCACCTGTCTCTCGCTGAGCTGCAGAATCTTGGCCAGGCGCTTTCTCTCAGGCGGGGAGAGGTATTTCTGCGTCTCGAACTTCTTCTCCAGCTCGATGGTCTGGTCGTTGGAAAAGCGGACCTGCCCACCTTTCCTCTTGTGCAGCGGCCGCTGGATGAAGGGGCTCCACAGCAGCGGCTTCCCTTCAAAAAGAAGCACAGCGCCGAGGGTCACCGACCGGCCGCGGACACGAGTGCCCGGGTAGCCCGGGCCCCTACCCGAGCCCGTTCCTGAAGGCACGCAGGGTCCAGGGCCCGTTAATTTCCTGCGCCTGAATTTATTTCCCCCATTTCCTAGTCTGATCTTTCGTGTTCTCTGATTTTTTACCTCCGCCGAACAGAGAGACCAGTTAAAGCCACTCTACGGGCTTTGGCAACATTTCCGTCAATGTGTTTCCTGTTGGTCTATCTCGCAAAGAGAGAGAAAAAAAATAAATAATAAAAAAAAAAGACCTTTGCTTCCTTCTGCTCTTTCACTGCGATGCCGCAAAGAAACCGTCTCCCTCTTTCCGCACCAGTACCCGGGTGCCCGCGGAGAGCGGGGACACTGCGGGGCCGGGCGTGGGGTATGTGCCAACACGAAGGCACGGGGCGCCCAGCCCCTTGGGCCAAGTACACCAAGCCGCCTACCCCTGGCTGGGGGCTGGCCCGTCGGTGGCCGCGGGGTGTCCCCAAGCTCAGCCCTGGCTCGGAGCAGCGGTGCGGGGCGAGGCAGTGAAGGCAGTGACACGTCGGGGAACCAGCCCCGTTCCGGAGCTGCAGCCGCGTCTCGGGGTGGGAGGCTCTGGCCAGTGCCACTGAGTCACTGTGTTTGTCTTTCTGTCTTGCTGCCTGCACCCTTTGAAATTTGCTGCATTGTTTTTCAAGATTTTGCTTGCGTCAGGCTTTAGTAATTCTGGTGCAAAACAGGCTCAAAAAATAGGAAGCAACTGGTTATTTTAGCTGTCATAAAGTCACATCCCACACAGAGGAAATGAACAATATCAGAAAAACGGATCCCGGCTATCAGAAGTCGAGTGTTTCCTGAATTTGTCTGTATTGAGGATGTCGATAAAGTAATCAGCAATGTGCACGACTCCCGGGGAAGAGCCTGCTTCAGGCGGCCAGGAAAACACTTAACAGCTTCTGAAACCAGATTTACTCCTATCGAGAGCTCAAGGTTTCCTGTATGAACGGAAAGGGTCAGCCTCTTTCACTGCACAAATGTGGTGAGTCAGGTCCAGTTTTGCAATCACTAAGAACAAGTGCTACAGCCCAGGCGCGGGGCTCAGCCCCCACAGCGGGGACGCTGCCCCCACTCGCGGGCGAGAAGCAGCCGTCGGGGCGCCGACCCGATCCGTCCCGACCCGACCCGACCCGCCGAGGAGCCGCGGGGGCCCCAGCGAGCAGGGCTGGCCTCCCGACTGTTTTTCAAGTCATCCGCAGGAAAAGGCTCAGATCTGCCATGCGATCTCCCAGCACAATTAAAACTCCCCACCAAAACCACACGCGACATTACTAAAGACACTCTCAGAGTCACTTGGTTGAAGGAAAACAAATCTGAGTCACCGCGGCCGCGCACTGTGGTCTCGCTACCAGCGCCGGAGCGAGGCACGTCTTAAGTTTACTGTAAATCAGACGGGGCCCGGAGGGAGACTGGGGGAGCGCGGAGCGGCGGCGGGGCAGGCGAGGAAGCGGAGCGGATTTCAGTAACTTCCCATAGTCCCGAGCCTCCGACGGCGGGACGGGGACGGGATGGAAGCGGCACACAGCAGACAGGGAGCGCGGGGGCAAGGAGGAGATGGCTTACCCAGGGGGTCCTGTCGGATCAGGGCGTGCGCGTAGTCGCCGACGGCGCGGGGAAAAGAGTAGAGAGGCCCGGTGTAGGCGCCGGTGCTGTAGGTGGCGGCGAGGTGGTGGGAGAAAGCCGGGTGGATCGGGGTCGGCTCGTAGATGGGGGTGCGGTATGGGGACACCAGGCTGGTGAAAGAGGAGTTGGGCGACGGCAGCGTC